TAAAAATCCAATATCTTTCTCAAAATGACACTTTAATGGGTTAGTACTGCTACCGTAGTTACTGTGACATGTCACTTGACAGTTCAGTGGGCCCCCAATCAAACAATCAGAAGTAAAGCCCTTAAGCACCCTCAGCTGTCCTGCATGTCCGTACTGTAACTGAAGCTCCTTGCAGGCATGCTTGCAATTTTTCCTTTTGGTACCGACGAGCCCAGTTCTTCTGAGTGTGCTGATCAGTAACGTTTCATAATTTGATTGATTGGGTAGAGGTAACTTGTGCACACATTCTCACCATCTCATGGTACATGGTTTCTGGGATAGTATGCCATTATCATGATGTCTCTGTGTCAACACAGATGATGGAATTTACATACAGAATTATTGAAGTTTCTCAGTGTAAATTAGACATTTGATTACATTATAGAGAAATCTAAGAAGCAGTATTGACGTCTCATACCCTACTTAATACAGCATCTCTAATATTGACCAATTTTTATTAATCATCTTTGTTTTATTGAATGATTTGTCCAATAGTGTAGTAGTGTAGTGCTTTTAAGTTTATGTCTTTGATTTTACCTATGTGACATTTAATTGTAGTGTTAAGGGAACACTATTGTCATCATGTGTGATAACGGCACTGGATCATGTCATTACGCTTTAACAATCTGCCTAACACTGTATTAGGGGGCAATTTTTTGCCCTTTTAAAGAAGAATTAATCAGGGTATTCAAACTGAGTGGAGGATATGATTAGTGGTCTAATACAGGTCTCGTTGCCCTCCTTTTTAATAAAGGTAAATTGTATAATTGGTCCTCTTTAGGTCTGTGATAATCCAAACATAGAAATGAGAACTATTTTGGAACGGAGCCTGGAAAATTCACTGGCACCAAAAATACTTCTGTACTACAAGAAACCCTTGGGAAAACGCTGAACGTTGAGTGTGCACAAAATAAACAGGTCCTGTCCTAGAGCAAAGATGCTTTTTCTGCGGTAATGTCAGGCCAGTAAACTATGGGAGACAAGGATTAACTTTCATTGAAAAACTCCAGGGTTCCCTGCACTGAACAGGCGATGACATCTTTATAATGTTTCACACATTCCAGCCTCGCTGTGGCTCTATAGTAAGTGACCCCCTCTCTGCCCCCCAAACACCCCAGTAATGCCGAGAACGCTTACCCAGATTCAATCTGAACTGTAGTCAACAAACCTGTCGACATAATCTTTACAAGTAAACACTTCTGTTTGTAACTAGCAAAATATATGATAGGATGTATTGTTTTTCCTGTTGCCTACAGCTGAAATATGAATCACTTTTATATCCAAATAGGAGTTCAAATCGTAAGCTGTGATTTTTAATTAGAACTTACATAATTAACAGTTTCTCAGTGAGCTGCAAAGAGGAAAGTTTAAGCTATTACTTTAAGTGGCCAAATACGCAGCTTATCAACCAATATACACTTAAGAATGTCGTGGTTACATTTTAAATAGTATTGAGTAACACCATTATGGCATTATGTATATTAGTACTGTATTAAAACCTTGGGGGGTCCCTGGCAACTAACTGCGTGATTGTATCTGACTCTATTAATAGACAATGTAAGTTTGTGGTAACGTTTGGTATAGTCTTCTGCTGTTTATGTAGACCACAAAACCAAATCGATTTAATGCGCAATCACGATATTGGTTAGAAAGATTGCAGTTAGATAATTTCCTCAAATCTGTATTAATATCTATGAAGAGACTAAACCCGCTGATGTGTTTGCCACAGTCAGAAGTTCTACTGTTTGTTCTACTGCAGCTTTATCTTGTACCTCATTATGTCCTTATGTGTGGCAGTGAAAAGGCAAATTGAAACTTGGAGTGGAGAGGATGCATTTAACTGGGGACACAAATTCATCTCCTCACATTCAGTTCTTCTATAATGGAGCTATGTTTTATATAGTGGCAATAACTGGGTTGTTATGAAGTCACGTCGGGGGGGAAATAAAATACACAAGTATATTTAAAATGGTGAATTACTTCACTAGAGGCAACGTTATATCTCAGCAACTTTCAATGAAAACCACTGCAGCCTACAGCTGGCAGGAGGTGCATTAAAACTGAAAGAGACAGCAACAACCTCTCTATATGAAGTGTTTAGACATTTATAGCAATGGAAATACTTGGCTCCATGTGTTCCAGTGGTACACGAGGCAAACGAGGGGATTTGAGCTTCATCGTGCCTCCTCCTGGTGGGGCAAGATGATGTTCTGATTTGAGGCGATGGGTGGAAAAGTCTCAAGGAAATGATTTACCCCAACAGGATTAGAGGTGACCCATACAAACCCACCCTCCTCCCCATCTCCCCTCCATTACCGGAACACCAGCAGACCACTTGTCACAATGAGTTTCCTTCAGTGTCGAGCATGCTGCGACAGTACTCAGGCACAAAGAAAGTAGCACATGTCACACACAGCCTCAAACGACGCTGTCCTCAAAAATATCTCCCCCTGGAGTCAGGACAGCAGCTGTATTAAAACATTTGAATCGTCTGAAATAGTGGTGTTAGTGGCAGACACACACAGCTGACTGACAGAAGTAGAGTGATACTACTACTTCATTTCACAGTTCTCCTGTTTATCACATTACAAATAATTTATTTGTGGAATATTGGAGGGAAAAAACTTACCGATTTAGTTTTACTTGTATTACGAGGTGCCTTTGGGTGTGACCTGATTTGCAAATCAAAATGCGAAAATGAACACCACACTTTTTTTTGAAGTTGAAAAGTACAACGTGTGTGTGCGTGTGCATGTGCGCACCATGTCCTGTAAGTGTGCAACACAACTGGCAAACATGTGATAGATAACAGTGGTCACACAGTGTGTACTGTGCGATTTTTAAGATTAACTCATTCATGCTTCAGAAGTAGTAGTAGCAGATAGGAGCTTTGATTCAACTCTCCTGCCAGGCAGTATTGTTACTCTGTTGGCAGTCGTGGATTTAAGATCTTGGTTTTGTTGGTGCACAGATGTGTTCACTGTCAGAAAACTGCTTGTGTGAATACTATTGAGTTTCTTTCATGCTCAATCTTTTTTGTAGTTCATAAAGTTTTTGTAGGTCAGAAATCTCTCAGCTAGACTGGATCCTGCTGTTGTACAAAACAATTCCCTCAATGGCTTAAAAAATTAACTTCATGTTCAAATCTGGGTTCTCTGGCAAATCCCCTTAATAGCTGTACAAACAGTGTAAGGACATGAAATAACGACATACACTTTACCTCCCGTGGTGAAGACATGCTGTGCCGAATTCCACAACAGTTGACGTTCTTGAGTTTTGTTTTCCGACCAGCTTTATGTCCCTCCCTTTTGTTGTGATATTGTAAGAGCACAGCAGACATTAATTCAGTGACAAATGTTTATTGAACAGCAGTACATATAATTCAAACTGGGGCCAATATATAACATAACTTTACCTTAGTGAGGCCTTGATCTTAAAGGTTTTTTTCTATCAGTTCATCAACTTCTCCCTTGTGAGACCCCTTGAGGCGATTAAGGCCGACTGCTGAAGTCGTCATGTGAAATTCCCCTCCCTGTTGTGATTGCTCTAAGTGCCTTTCTAGCCACGGCTAATGCTAGCAGCACGTTTTTGAGCATTACTCTTTAGTTTTCACCTAGAATAACAGTGCCGGGGTAATCCGCTGACTCACTGACTTGCAGTCCTAATCCGGCCAGCCTCGTGTCTTTTCTTCCGCTGTGTATCGGCTGTGTAGACTGAGGTTAAACATATGGTTATTATGGTGTGTGTGTGTGTGTTTGTGGGGTGTGTGGTGTGTGTGGCGCACGCGCACGCAGAGGCCTGGCATTCCTGCAAGAGTGGTGGCAGAGCAAAGGACCCTATGTTCCCCCCCGCCACCACGTCCCCCACTACGTGCGCCAGCGGCAGGTCTAATCAAAGCCTCCATAATACTGTTAGCTGGTCATGGTGCTGGAAACCAGGATTAAGAGCGGAGGGCACAGGCCACTGATCCAGCTTAGGAGGGGAGCGTTCTCCCTCTTTCTCTTTCTCTGTCTTTGTCTGCCACACTCTCTCTCTCTCTCCCTCCCCTTCTAGACTCATCTTTTAACCTCCCATGTGAGGACACCGCCATCCAAGGTTGCAAATGTCTATTATACTATAATTATTATATATAACTGAAACAAGCGTGCATTTTCATTATAAACTGTACTTGAAAGATCTCCACATTTGGTGTATGAGCTTGTTTATTTCCTATTTTCCTGAAATCTGGCCCCAAACACTTAATACTATGACATAGTAAGCACATGTCCACACCAATGCAGATACTTTAAACTCCTGTCTATGTCTAACTGTGTCCTTCCCTGACCTTTTACCACCTGCTGT